GTTTTATTTTAATAAAAGTTGGTGAATGTATTTATCTTACTGTAAATAACAAGTGAAAAAATTTTCAGCCTTATCAGTTGGACATTGCGGTTTTTATACTGCTTTTTTTAATTCACTAACGCTCTAAAAATGAATATTTCAGCCGCAGTAAAGAATCACCGTTGGCGGATTTTGGTTCTTGACATCCTTTACGATCGGTTACGATGCCTAGAGTACGGAGACCTGTACGATTTCGTCAACTTAGTGAGTTTGATAGGGGCCGTATAGTGGGACCTCGGGAAGCTGGACTTTCTTTTCGGGCAATTGCAGTTAGAGTGCAAAGAAGTGTAGACACTGTGGTTAGGTGTTGTAAGGCATGGCTTCGAGAAGGCCGTACGCAAAGAGCAAGGGGCACTGGACGCCGCCGTAGAACAACAGACCGTGAAGGGACCGTTTATCCACTACCAGGTCCATTGCAAATGAATGGTTTGCAGAACACGGAAGACCTATTGGCATGCGAAGTGTTTACCGACGAATGAGAAGTTTTGGCTTGTTTTCATACCGGCCACACTGGGTCCTCCCTTTAACTCGAGAACACCGACGTGATCGCCTTGAGTGGTGCAGACAACGGTCACTCTGGGATCAGGAATGGAACAGTATTGTCTTTAGTGACGAGTCTCGATTTTGTTTAGGCATGCACGATGGTCGTACCAGGGTTAGAAGGCGACGTGGTGAAAGGAGGAATCCACAGTCTTTTGTTGAAAGACATGTTCATCACACTGTTGGAGTTATGGTCTGGGGTGCTATAGCTTATGGTTCCAGGTCACCTTTAATCTTCATCAGAGGTAACATGAACGCGCAGCGTTATATCCACGAAGTTCTAGAACCCCATCTTTTACCCTATCTTGACACCCTGGCAGATCCAACTTTCCAACAAGATAATGCCCGACCACATGTTGTAAGAGTCACAATAGACTTCTTTCAACATAATGATGTCACATTGTTACCATGGCCACCAAGATTTCCCGACTTATCCCCAATTGAGCACGTGTGGGATATGATGGGTAGGAGATTGCTCAATTTGCAACGTCCTCCTCAAACTCTAGAAGCACTTCGAGAGGAGTTGGTGGTTGCCTGGAATGAGATACCACAGGAGGACATTGACCACCTGATCAGAAGCATGCCTAGGCGCGTTGGAGAATGCGTAGCACATCAGGGTGCATCCACACATTATTAAAGGTCAAAGGGCTTTAAAGCAGTGCAATCATTTTGGAAATTTTTATCATTTACTTATTATGCTTCATTAAGTACTTATACAAAATTTTATTGAAATAAAACCATTTAAACTGGGTGTTCGGATTTACATGTCACCTAGTATACATATTATGGCTTCTTAAACTTATTTTTATTAATTTAGTCAAACTCTTGAAGTTTAGGCGGCTAGATGCAAACTGGTTAGAACTCTGATACACGTGGTTAAATGACACACATGTTTGACCAAAACAATGAAAATACATATACAAGGTGTTTTCAAAGTTGAGTCATATTTTAACTGCTTGTAGGACTCATCATTGTGTTATTGTATGGTTTTCAGTCTTTGGTTCGATCAGTTGTATCAGCCTTTTAATAGTGTGTAAACTTTCATTTGCCTGATTACAATGAACTAGTTGACATACTACTAACATACGGAGAGTGCCAACAAAATGCAGCCGCAGCATGCGGAAAGGTTTCCTTTAAGAAATAATCCGGCCTCACGAGTTTGTAAATTTAGTTATTTGACTTCGTGACAGGATATTTAAAAGAAGTGTTTAAAAGAACATTGAGGAGGTCACGCTGGAAGACCTGCCATCCTGAAATGTTACAAATTGAGGAAGATATTTTAGAAATGGTCGAAGGGGACCCAACAATGGGTACTAGCCGTGGCAGCTCAAGTTGAATTTTCTCATATTAAGGTGTGGCAGATACGACAAGAACAGTATTATCATTATCATTATCAACGGGTACAACCGTTACAACCTGAAGATCATCCTAGAAGAATTGAAATTTGGCAGTGCCAGTTCGGCAGAAATGAAGATTACACGAAATTAATTTTGTGTACAGACGAGGCCACATTTTCACGAAATGGAGTGCACAATTTCCACAATAATCATATTTGGGCAGTAGAAAATCCGCATGCTGCTCATTTTCAACATAGGTTTTCATTAAACGTTTAGGCTGGCGCGATTTTCGTTTTTCCTGAAAATATATAGAGTGTTTAAAATTAGATAAAAAACTTTATATATATTTTTTTCTGGAAGGTCATACAAAATAGTTATAGGGGGGATACTCCGCTCGTGTAAAGAGATATATTTGAGGTGTTGATAAAATGTTTTCCTATTGTAATGAACTAGGCGAAACTAAAGTTTTGCTGTACGCCACTGGTATCGTCGGTTTCGGAATTTCGAACAATTACAATACGTACCGTGACCTCCTCTGCATTCGTGCCTAAATGCCATTACGATTTTTAGTTTCGCTGTAATAACGTTATTTTATCGGCTGTTTATCAACTTCATTGGTTCTGTTTTCTACCACAAATCATTCCATCCTAAGGTTTAATCAAAATATTGTGCATATCTAGGATTTTTTGCGCTTGTTAGGATGGTTGCATGATTATTGTTAGTCGAATACAAAGGTACTATGCTTCGTTTAAATCCTGTTCGTTTTGTTTTACAAACAGTCCAAGAGGCAGCGAATCATTCCTCGATTTTTTATCAGCTCCCGAAAATCAGGTAAGCTTTGCAGTAGCGGGGATATGAATTTTGGTAAACCGTTTGAACTCTGTCTAATATTCATTATTCGAATCATCGAAAATTTTGGCGACCATTATGCTCCTGTATAGTGTATGTCCAGGTAAACATCACCATTTGATCTTCGTCTAGTACCCATTACGGGCCATTTGAAAATTTTGGCGTCATAACAGTTTTTGTATGCCGTATGTGGTATTTTATTAACGTGTGTTCTCTTCTTTTGATTGTCCTGAAGATGATAGGTGATGTTTCTTTTCAAACATTGTGAAACAGAGTAGATTTCCAATTATTTTAAAATATTGTTTATCTTTCTATTACACGTACCTAAACCGCTGGAATTCAAAATTAGCAACAAATTCGGACTAGGTACAGAGGGAAAGCTTACGATTTATTTGTCACCAAAATAACCTTGTCAGTAGTCAGGATGCAAGTTCATGCTTCAGCTGAAGGTTTCTGTTGATTGTAAAAAGCAGTTTAAACTAAATAAGAGCAAATCTTTTTATCGGTGTTATAATAATCGAAGTTGGGCCAACCTGAACAGTTGTGATGTAGTTTTGATTTACATCATTTTACTTTTTGTTTCATTGAGCATTCACTCCCAATCAGATGTTGCTTAATAGAAGTGTATACCCAACAACAACATCCAAAAATAATACAAAGTATCGGAAAGAAATAATTTTATTTTGATGGATACTGAAAAGAGCCACTTGAAACTTTGACTAAACTTCGAACTGTATTTACTTTAATTGTGAATCTAAATGTTCTTGGGAAAGATGCTTTTGCGTTATAAGTAGTAATCTTATGATCTCATTTTAGGACCACCCGATTTTATGGAAAAAACCATGAATATCAAGTTAATTAGAATACTCCCAAATATTTTTATTGGATAACTATAGCCAATGATATGACAGCTAGAATTTCTATATTATGATCAAGGCAGCAGCGGCGGCCGCAGTAGTAGACTCTTCGGTCTCCTGATCAGTCGCCGTGCGCTGTGCGGGTTCGAGTCCCGTCCCAGGAGAAATGTTTCTCTTGGCTATGGATGTTGTGATTGTCCGTAGGTGGTAGACGGTCTCTGACTGTCGAACATGGAGGTACCACCCGGCGGATCTCGTAGCCGGAGCCAGAATGGTGCATGTTGCATGCACACGTGTTCCCTCGTGTGGCGTCCCCCCCCTGTCCACTGTATCCCCCTATAGCCCCACGGTACCCAATGGGTGTTTAGGCCTTAGGCCTTCGTGGTAGTTGGAGTATACAAAAAACTAGGTATTTGCTTTTAGCCAAGAATCTGCATCATAATAGCTATTTAGGGAAACCTAGTAGGATTGTGCTATTGTTGCTGTTTGATGGAGATAATGTTTATGTTTATGAATATTTACTTTCGATTCTTTTTCTTGTCTACTTCATCCCTGTTTATGAACAACAACTGATCGTTTCACATCCCAACACAGATAGTATTTCTGCCCTGCTTTACGTGAGTACACCTACTGAAAATAGCTACTGGAATATCCTTTCCAGAGAAAATAATGTACGCCGATGTCACTTTGGTAGCCAATGGCACGCATATTAGCCAAAATATGCCCCAAAACTATACAGCTTTGTCGACAAACAATGTAATCATGTAGAGTTACAGTTCAAAAACAGTAGGCATCTTCAGGCAGACCATACTTTTTGTAATGTTTTTGGATGTAGTTACAGGAACAGTAGGTACTCCACCAGTCAACTGGAACATGTTAGTGATACCCTTACATTCTAAGGCTGTCTACAAAACATCATTCAGCTCCAATGCTATTAAATTATATAATGATCTGCCTGTTACATTCCAAAACTATACATTATTTAATTTTAAAAAGAGGCTTAAACTAAAACTACAAGTCGAGGTCTGATGATGAATACAAAATGCTAGAAATATGGACTATTCTTGTAATTGTCTTTTTTTTTGGGTTGTTAATTATTTAGTAATCATTGAGAATTATGGATACATTTTTGTTGGTGGAATGTTTTATTATATATATATGTTTGTTAAGGTCAAGGTTAAGTTGAAAAACGCTAATCTTAGCGACACTTCGTCTTTTTTGTACTTTTACTTAGTTACGAAATAAAGCCCATTTATTATTATTATTATTATTATTATTATTATTATTATTATAAACTCCACTGTACCACATATGGATCTTCGTTCCTATAATTCTATTACCTTTGACGCGCAGGACTAAGTAAAATGAAAGTAGCGCATTTTAACAAATATTTTATTAAAACAAGTCACTTCACAAAAATAAAAAATAAAATCAGGGCTGGATTGAAGAAAATGCGATTATTGTGATTAGTTTCGGTTTCGAGTTTTCTTTCGTTGAGGTCCTTATTATAATATGAGGATTCATTTATTTCAATATGGGCTTCTCTGCTATTTGCTGAGGCTCACAGAAATCATAACCCGGCCCTGTTACATAAAACTCATTTAAATAACATGCTGACATGCACTTAAGTACAAAAATTTTAATTAACAAACGTTATAAAAAATACAGCGTTTCAGGAGATTTTTGTTTGCAATTAGCAATTGCAACATGCAATATGCATTCCACGAAAATCCGGCAGGTGTAACTTTAATAAGTAAGGTTATTGCCCTTGTACTTGCTTTCAGCTCGATTATGGTAACTTTACAGGATAACGTTGGTTTCACCTGGCAAGGGCAGTAACCTTTCATATATGACAGTTGTTGCTTAAACGGTACTTTTCCACACAAGGCCTTTGATAAAAGAATTATTTGGATTTATTGCAGAGCTCAAATTTCGATTCATAATACGACCTTCAAATTAGTCTTAGACCTTAGAGAATTCAGATAGTTTTCACACAAAAAACAGTCAATTGAAATAAACTGAACTATGATCTTTTCTTGCTATAGGCATTATATTGGTGTGTATTTATACACAAAATTAAAAAAGTGAAAGCAGGGCAGGTAACACTTGGTTTCTCCGCGTTTTATAACAATATCGGAATTCTTATCATGTGTCAAAATAGTGACAGCAGTTCCAATAATTCTACTGAGGTCATCTGCTGATAAAAAATGGAATTCGTAATGATTCAGTGATTGCAGTGATTAATCTGTTTATTTCTATTTAAATATTCCTGTATATATGAGTAATCTGCAACGTCTGATAAATACCTAGCACACGTTTTCACAAAGCATTATTACTTGGTATACTATATTAATACCTAATATAGATACAAGTAGCTTAGAAATAGAGCAGCCCTAATAACTAGATCATTTTGTATTTATTCTTTTCTCATACCAATCACCCGGGCGTACAGAATGTACAAAATGTTCTAAAATCTGGGCTATAATTATTTATAACTTCAAGAACAGTTTTCTAAAAAACTCATCGTTAAACAGGAACTTTGTTGGACTAACATCATTTTGTGCTAAAATGAGACCAACCAATTTTTTATAATACCAATAAAGCTGTTCTGAAGTACGAAATATCAGTTCCAGAGATCTCTCGTGTTAGTTCCACATAAAAAACAGACTAGTTAATTGTAAACTCATAGTCATCGTTGCGTAAGTCTTGTAATTCGTTCTACCTTTTTTTATTTCCTTAACACGCACATCATTTGTAGTCGACAACGCAATTGAAAATATTTTCACTTTACTATTATTCTTCCTAGAACCCCAGCCGATATGAGAAAAATAATTAAATCTCTCAAATAAAACAGTAAGTCGCTTCTTGTTTTTATCAGCAAGTTTCGCGTAAGGTTACTTAACTCGCCGTGTGTGTAGATCTTCTGACCATCATAGACCAAGCTGATGTTAAACTTTATAAACATTAATTCTTTTATGAAATATATTTTAGCTCTAGGAAAATTGCATTCAGGAAACTGAAAATATTTTCCCACACTCTCATTTCGATTTTTCCAAACTCGTAACATCTGCCATTCAGACACTTCCTGAGTATCTTCACAAGTTTCTTTGCGGATACGGCCTCCTTTTCAGTTTGACAATTCTGTACTCGAAGAACAAACTGTTCGATTCGTCCTTGAAATGATGTACTATTTCTTTGGATATGTTGATGCAGTTCATCCCCTTTGTGAGGGAGCCCGTGTACATCATTTTGATTTTCTTTTCTGTGGGGTGGTGAATGATGATTTCTTGTTGGTACCGCTTCGCTTCTTCGGGAGGACCAAAGTACTTGGTGACGATCCAGGCTGAGCCGTCACATTTGTTACCTGAAGAATTAGGAAAATCAAAAATATATACGGGCTTGTGATGATAATGCTAAAAACCGAAGGAATCGTCTCATCAAATCCGATTGACATTTGTTTCTTAAGTCCCAACTTGTCGCCTACTGGACGACTTGAGTCTTATTCTCTGTATCCTCCGACAATTGTCATTTTATTATCAATATTTGGCCTTTTTAAATTATATTCTGAGTGTTTTCAATTTTTTATATGATCTAGAAGTGACAAAAAAGTGTTAGGAGCCAACATGAAAAGCCCTTTTGGATTAGCTTATAGAGAAAGATGATGCATTTTAACGCAAAGGCGTAAAAGAAGGAAAAGCTGTATTAACTTTAAATGGATCTAAGCAAACTATATTAAGTGACATATAAATCCGAACACCCAGTTTAAATGGTTTTATTTTAATAAAATTTTGTATCAGTACTTAATGAAGCATAATAAGTAAATGATAAAAATTTCAAAATAATTGCAGTGCTTTAAAGCCCTTTGACCTTTAATAATGTGTGGATGCACCCTGATGTGCTACGCATTCTCCAACGCCCCTAGGCATGCTTCTGATCAGGTGGTCAATGTCCTCCTGTGGTATCTCATTCCAGGCAACCACCAACTCCTCTCGAAGTGCTTCTAGAGTCTGAGGAGAACGTTGCAAATTGAGCAATCTCCTACCCATCATATCCCACACGTGCTCAATTGGGGATAAGTCGGGAGATCTTGGTGGCCATGGTAACAATGTGACATCATTATGTTGAAAGAAGTCTATTGTGACTCTTGCAACATGTGGTCGGGCATTATCTTGTTGGAAAGTTGGATCCGCCAGGGTGTCAAGATAGGGTAAAAGATGGGGTTCTAGAACTTCGTGGATATAACGCTGCGCTTTCATGTTACCGCTGATGAAGATTAAAGGTGACCTGGAACCATAAGCTATAGCACCCCAAACCACAACTCCAACAGTGTGATGAACATGTCTTTCAACACAAAACTGTGGATTCCTCCTTTCACCACGTCGCCTTCTAACCCTGGCACGACGATCGTGCATGCCTAAACAAAATCGAGACTCCTCACTAAAGACAATACTGTTCCATTCCTGATCCCAGAGTGACCGTTGTCTGCACCACTCAAGGCGATTACGTCGGTGTTCTCGAGTTAAAGGGAGGACCCAGTGTGGCCGGTATGAAAACAAGCCAAAACTTCTCATTCGTCGGTAAACACTTCGCATGCCAATAGGTCTTCCGTGTTCTGCAAACCATTCATTTGCAATGGACCTGGTAGTGGAGAAACGGTCCCTTAAGGCCAATAATCTTAGGCGGCGATCTTCACGGTATGTTGTTCTACGGCGGCGTCCAGTGCCCCTTGCTCTTTGCGTACGGCCTTCTCGAAGCCATGCCTGACAACACCTAACCACAGTGTCTACACTTCTTTGCACTCTAACTGCAATTGCCCGAAAAGAAAGTCCAGCTTCCCGAAGTCCCACTATACGGCCCCTATCAAACTCACTAAGTTGACGAAATCGTACAGATCTCCGTACTCTAGGCATCGTAACCGATCGTAAAGGATGTCAAGAACCAAAATCCGCCAACGTTGATTCTTTACTGCGGCCGAAATATTCATTTTTAGAGCGTTAGTGAATTAAAAAAAAGCAGTATAAAAACCGGAATGTCCAACTGATAAGGCTGAAAATTTTTTCACTTGTTATTTACATTAAGATAAATACATTCTCCAACTTTTATTGAAATAAAACCATTTAAACTGGGTGTTCGGATTTATATGTCACTTAGTATATTTCAGCTGTCGAAGAATGCAGTTCTGCAAAAGTTTTTAAAGAGAGCTAGTCAGACAACTAATATGTACTTAATTACTTCTTTGCATTCTAACTGGAGACAGCCATTTTGAAAAGTTCTTCTAAATTAAGAAACCTCACATGTTTTGTTGATTAAATGTTGTTACCCGAACATTATTCCCCTCTCTGAATCTCCCAAAAAATTGTCAAAAGACATAATATTGTTTGAATATTCATTTGTATATAAAATTCTTTGTATATGACAAAATGGGGTAATCTTTACCTTGAACGCTCCAAAACACCTCATTCTCAATCTGCGTCCTCCAAAAGGTAAACGAGAAAATCTTCCCTGTACGCTGCACCCTGGTGCCATAGTTGATCTTGTAGTTGTCGTTGGCCGCCATTTCCTCGTTGAAATCAGACAGAAAATCCATGATTGCGCTTTCGGTAATTTACTTCTCGTAATGTAGAAAAAATAAAGTAGTTTGCCTCTTCGGGGGTTTCGATCACACGTGGTATCACAGATGTTTGATCCAGTCTATTGTTTCAGCTTCTTGCGGACTTAGTTTTGTTCCGTTGTCGTAGCCATGGTGGTTAATCTGGAAATACCAGAATGTTTTATCACCTGTGTGTTTGATTTGCGATTAATTTGTTGACTTAGTTTGTTATATTACATATATGGTGTCCCAACTAAGCGGGAAATATTGCTGCCATTTTTCTCTTAAAACGTACTGGTTAACGATAATGGATTCCCCATGGATATACCCTATGGTTTAGTAACTAAATGCAGGTAAAAAAAATCACCCCTAGACCATGTCAAAAAATGGCAACGAACTGATTTTCGTGACAGGCCTTCTAACAGGCGAGTTGTTAGCAGAAAGTGCTATCTATTACCAGAATCGACCACTACGACAGTGAAAACCGTTGGAACAGTCTCCCAGTGCTGACTCGGTAGTCCTTATATCCTGCATAGAGGATAGTTGCTCAGTATTAGTCCATTGCCCTATCTGAGACTAAGCCTAAACCGTACTGATGAGTTTCCAAATAGCACGAAACAGCTGCTCATGGCTGTGGTCGAGCGAACAAAAGCTTTATTACTAGTTTACGATAGTTGCTTTTTGCAAAACTCAGACTGGGGCAGCTACGTAAAAAGTACCTGCAGGGTATACATGACTGTTATACTGGATACTGTAGATGATTAGGAGTTATTCAAAATAGGACTGAAAGCTGCATTGCTGTCTGGATCTCAGTCGGACAGCTCATCCGGGAAAAATCCTCAAGGCAGCGGTGGCCGCAGTAGTAGACTCTTCGGTCTCCTGATCAGTCGCCGTGCGCTGTGCGGGTTCGAATCCCGTCCCAGGAGAAATTTTTCTCTTGGCTATGGATGTTGTCATTGTCCGTAGGTGGTAGACGGTCTCTGACTGTCGAACGCGGAGGTACCACCCGGCGAATCTCGTAGGCGGAGCCAGAATGTGTGCTTGTTACATGCACACGTGTTCCCTTGCTAGAGTCTGTGTGGCGTTCCCCCTTTCCCATGTATGCCCCTATAGCCCCACGGTATCTAATGGGTGTTTAGGCCTTAGGCCTTCGTGGTAGTTGGAGTATAAAAAAAATCTAGACTCACTGAATCACTGGTACACCTTGTATATTTGTGTATAGTAAATGATAAGGTGTGGATAAATTATAGTAGATGAGTCATATTAAAACAATAGTTAAGGTGGAATTCTAAGCGGAGCGACCTGAGGCTCTCTGTTCTGTATACGAAATTTTAGCAGGCAGTACGATAAGTCAAGTTTATCAGCAATCTTATACTCGTATCTCGTTATCTTAGACAAAATACAGTATAAGTAATTATGACATGAGGTGAATAAAGGTGTGTTTATATTTCATGCTTTAATAACCGCAAAACTGATTTTATAGAGACCTTCGGCAAGGTCATATTTCCTGGAAATTATCGTGTGACTCTGTTGGCAAACCTTCAAAAATCGTTTCGAAATGTCGGACATCGGAAAATCGCCTTCCCGTTTGTTGTATTTGCGTCTGCGGATTCTATTATTGCAAAGGTTTTTGTACAACAGGTCTGTGCGCCGGTAAAGTTACGTCAGATTGCATAATTGTACTGAAATTGTGCCAAAGTCTGCCAGTTCCGCTGTTCGACTGTTTCGTTTCATGACCTGCTTTGGTTTTCAATGGTGGTTTATTAGTCTTGGTACTTAGTGCATGTTGGTCAATAAACAACTGACTGATTTATTTCTCCGGTATCTCGAAATGAAATGACTCCAATTATATCAGTAATACACATAACTAGAAGCTATAACGTTGTTCCTTATGGATATCTATCAAAAATATCGTATATATATATATATATATATATATATATAATTCTTAAACCTAGAAAAAATGGTCAGGATCATTTATATCAGTTATAAGTTTCATTATAAGCGAAGTCATACTCGTATACTAGAGCCGGCACAAGCAGGTCTCTAAAGCCGCATACAGACCGAGATTCCATCGCAAGTCAAGGCACATGTGGTTACAGATTTGGGGTGTTCGAATCGGTGTTGTACGGCTCGAGCCACATAAATCAAGGGATTCCAAGGTAGCGTTGGCGCTCGACATTAGCACCGAACTTAACCCAACGCGGTCACTTGAAACTAAATCTAGGTGTATACGAGCGCATTCCAATACCGTCTAATATCACATGTGCTTGCATTCGTTTGCTCGACGTTGGATTTTCGGTAAGTACGCGGCTTAAGATCAACGTCTTCCAAGTATCATTTGGCTCTGGTTCAAGCTTTAGGTATTTTTTTCATTTCGCAGCGTTAAAAGAGGATTACAGCTCTATAATTTAGCAGAGAGCTTGGAAATATCCTGGATATCACCCCCCAAATCCCAACATCTGTAGACTTATTGGCTTAAGGAAAAATTATGAAAATAAGCAGTTTTTAGACAACAACGCTTTCATGAAAAATTATCGGTAATTTTGATGCAGTTGTATAATTACTTCCGAAAATGTCAGGAACACGCTCTAACAAGGCACTTAGTGAACAAACGACACAATAGAAGACGATTCGGTACAAAATATATACATATAAACAGCCTGATACACATTTGAGCAAAGACATTTAGACCTTATTAAAAAATTGAAAAATTGTTATCAAAATTTTCTTGATTTTATTTGCGAAACTAAATTTGGAAAGTGTCTTCACACTTGATGGCATACTATTGTATAAATCGGATGCAATATAAGAAAATGACTTCTTAAATTGGGCTGTTTTATTATACGGCAAAGAGTGTAACCCACAAGTCGTATAGCATTGCTGTTCACTCGTCAAACTAAACTTACTATCAAGATATACAGGGTGTCCGCAAAGTTGGGGTTTTCCTTTTCAGAAACAACTACCCTTGAAATAACAAAGGTAATGTGTAGTGAAACGAGGGCGACCTGGTAAAAAAAAATAAAGGAAAAGTACTCACTCTCCAGTTGACGAGAAGGGCTAAGTACGTCTCTGCCCGAAATCATACCGCTCCAACAGAAAATGAAATCAGCTGATACGCTACCGAGCAGACGCACCATGCCAGCCCAAACATTCACCGAAAATGTTTGTTGAAAATGTGCCCGACGGACAGCGTGCGGATCTTCTACTGACCAAACATGAGTGTTGCGAAAGTTATTCACCCCATTACGCGTGAACGTAGATTCGTCTGTCACCAATATGCACTTGTCATGTTGATGCAACAACCACTCACAAAACCGCACTCTTGCTGGAAAATCGTCAGGTTGAAGGGCTTGTACACGTTGGACGTGAAACGGATACAGCCCCTCTTCACGCAGCGTTTTCCACACTTTAGTTTTTGATACTTGCACTTCTCTAGCCACGGCTCTAGTGCTTGTTGAGGGATTCTTGTCTACGCGGTGACCTCTACACGCGTGACCGTAACCGTCGGTTGAAGGTTGCATACTGACCTGACACACTGACCCCGACCCAGTTCTGTCGTCGGGTTGAGCCAGTGACATTGCACCATTCGGTGATGTCACGGGTCGCGGCTACAGGACGGTATTCAGATATTTTTGATGTTGCAGAGTCCTCTATCTCGGTTCCCTTAAGACATTGGTGATGTTTTCAAGATCTACACGTCGTGTAAAGGAAAACCCCAACTTTGCGGACACCCTGTATTGGTTTTTATGTGTCATCAGTATATTGTGGACTAGTGTCTGTAAATAAACCATTCACTTCTGCCGCATCGTAAGTCAATTTATTTCTCATAAATGGCTAGAACTCTCTTCTTGCTATACCTACACAATACCTAAGACAACATAAGACCGTAAGACGAGTGCTCTTGTCGCTCGACATCAACAAAGCTTCTGGTCCGGACTTGATTCCTGCCATTGTACTGAAGAGATGTGCAGCTGAGCTTGCTCCAGTTCTTTCGCGTCTCTTCCAGATATCTTATGAATCCGGCACCTTCCCAGAAAACTGGAAATTTGCTCATGTACAGCCCATCCCAAAAAAAGGATCTAAAACCGACCCTTACAACTACAGGCCTATAGCTCTGCTTTCTGTTATAAGTAAAGTGATGGAGAGGTGCATAAATCGCGAGCTTCTGGACTACCTCGAACGTCACAGCTTGATTAGCGACAGGCAGTACGGTTTCCGGCGCCAACGATCCACAGGGGACCTCCTAGCTTACGTCACGCAACTGTGGAGTAAACTCATCCAGTCTCATGGTGAGGCTCATGTCGTTGCTCTTGACATCACGAAAGCGTTCGATCAGCTGTGGCACGCTGCCCTCTTAAGCAAACTTCCATCCTACGGCCTCCCAGAAAAGCTTTGCAGATGGGTGGCTGACTTTATCTCTGGCCGCAAGATATCCGTCGTAATTGACGGATTCTCCTCTTCATCCCACAACGTCAACGCGGGTGTTCCCCAGGGATCGGTCTTGGCTCCAACACTGTTTCTCTTACATATCAACGACCTCCTTTCCTGCACGATCAACCCAATCCACAGCTTCGCTGATGACAGCACTGTACATGCAGGAATTCAGAGTGAGAAGCCGATCTCTGCCGCTGAGCTGGAAAAAAGAAGACTAGCGACGACTTCTTCTCTGACAAGAGACCTGGAGGCTATCACTGCTTGGGGACGCAACAATCTTGTACAGTTCAATGCTTCCAAAACACAGTACTGTACCTTGACGAACAAAAAGCGTCCTAGCGCTCATACAGGTTCGATGGACGGTCGAGTTCTACCAAAGAGCCACTCATTTCGGCTGGTCGGAGTCCAGATCACCGAGGACCTGATCTGGCACGAACACATCTCTTCAATAGCTGCAGCTGCTGGGAAAAAGCTGGGCTATTTGTTTAGGGCTAAGAAGTACTTTTCTCCGCATGACCTTCTCACTCTATACAAGGCCCAGATAAGGCCTAGCCTCGAGTATTGCTCACACATTTGGGGTGCTGCCGCCCCGACTACATTGTCCATGCTCGATGCTGTCCAGAGGAGGGCGGTCCGACTGATCGATGACTCTTCTCTAACAGACAGTCTCGGGACTCTTTCGCACCGGCGGGCCGTCGGCGATCTAGCTCTTTTCTATCGCTACACCAACGGGCTTTGCTCCTCAGAGCTCTCTTCCATGATGCCGCCGCGCGATGCGCCTGCCAGACAGACCCGCCTGACTTCGGCATCCCATCCTAACCGTGTCAAACTTCGTACATCCAGAACTGGCCGATACGACCGCTCCTTTGTCCCGAGGGTGTCTAGATTGTGGAACAATCTACGGGAGGAAGCTTTTCCCAGTTCTACTAACCTTAGGCAGTTCAAAAATCGTATTAACAAAATTTCTTTGGGATCATCATAGCAGCCGCGGTGTTCCGGCATTTAGGCTTCTGCCTGCACGGCTGTTTCGATATAAAAAAAAAAAAAAAAAAAAAAAAAAAAAAAAAAAAAACTATTTTGAAGATTTTGGATCCTGTACGTCTCATCATTTGTTAGGCATGGAGTGAAAACCGAATCGCCATAGTTGACTCAACATTAGAGAATCAGAAAGTCTAATTTTCTTTTTTTTTTGTGGGAGAACGGCTCTATAAAAGTGTTTTAAGTTTCGCGTACCCACAACAACTGAAACAACAGGTGGCACATTTGCAGACGATACAGCGATTCTAGCAACTGATGAAGATCCTATCCTTGCTCCAAATAAGCTCCAAAAGCACCTAGACGATATAAGAAGACGGCTGAACAAATGGAAGATCAAGGTTAATCAAAACAAGTCAACGCACATCGCTTTCACCCTCCGTAAAGGACAATGCCCCTCAGTAGCCTTGAAACGTAGAAACATAAAATACATGGATGACCAGCTGAACAACATTCAACCAAGAAAAGAAAACAAATGGACTTAAAAAATAAGTAATTAAATTGGTTCATAGGACGCAAATCAGAACTCAGCCTGGAAATTTGATTTACAAAGTCGTGATCAAGCGCATTTGGACATACGGAATAGAGCTCAGGGGATGCGCCAGCAAGTCGAATATTTCAATCATCTAACGAGCCCAATCAAAGATCCTTAGAGACATTGCAGACGCACCCTGGTATGTCTCAAATGTCTCCATAGAGACCCG